GATTAACATGCTGGGAGCAACTGTCGATGGGGGTAGTTACACAACACAGTTACACTTGCCTCTCTGAGCAGGTGAGACCAGTAGGGTGAGAAGGAACTAGAATGTGCCAAATTTGGAGAAGGAAAAAGAATGGCCTGTGCAAAGGCCCTGAGGTGGAAAACGGACTAGCTGGAATTTAGTGGGAAGGGGGGAGGTCGGTGGGATAGGCAGGGCCTTGACAGGAATAAGAGAAAGGAGAATCGTTTTATCCTAAACTGCATGGGCAGCCATGGAAGGGACAGAATGACAGGGCATGAATGATGTTTTAAGCAGCATAGGAAAAGAGCTTTGCCTTGAAAATATTGAGGAGGGAGGACTGTTCTTCAGACAGGAGGAAGGAGAGATGCTCTTCTTTATTATTTTAGTGAGGAGGAAGTTGGGCAGTCCTGGTGAGCCTTTCTGTCACTGAGCCCCACAGGGGTCCCATCACACACACAAGTTGCCCCTTGCTCCCTTTGGTCACCACAATGACTCATCACCCATTTGTCACCCCCAAGATTCTTCTCCGCATCTTTTCTTTGCCAAGTCTTCTTGATTTAGAGTTTAACTGCTAATTTCTCCAGGGAAGAGAGAGTAAATAAAGTTTCTAGAACCTTACAAAGTCTGATCAGTCTCAGTTCCTGATCTAGCTTATAGTTCCTGAGTCTGTCTGAAATGATAAATGGAAACTTATCCTACTTACTTATTGCCATGTAATAAACCACCCCAAAACTGGTTTAAGACCATGAAAACATTTATTTTGCTCATGAATTTGTAATCTGTGTAAGGCTCAGCAATAATGATTCACCTCTGCTTCACTTGGCCTCTGTTGGGGTGGCTTGAAAGCTGGGGGCTGGAACCATCTGGGGGCTGGAACCATCTGGGGGCTGGCTCCACTCAAGTTGATGCTTGCTGTCAGCTGAGCCTTAGCTGGACTGTTGGTCAGACACATACATGGGGCCTCTACATATAGCCTGGGCTTCCTCAAACAGTTCTAAGGGTGAGTGTCCCAAGGGAAAGTCATGTGGAAGCTGTACCGTGTTTTATGGCCTCACCTCAGAAGTCATGCAGCATCATTTCCGCTATATTCTATTTATTAAAAGTGAGTTACTGAGGGAGTGGAATCAGGTTCGACCTTTAAATGGGAGAAGTATCAAAGAATTTGCAGACATGTTTATAAACCACTACAGGCCTGAATGGGATGGACTCTGGTTTATTCACTTGATGGGTAGAGGGTGGGCACCTCATCTTTCCCCTCTTTTAGACTCTTCCTTGGGAATCCAAGAGGAAGGTTAAGCCGGCGGATATAGTCAAAGAAGAGCAGCCATTCAGGCTCTCGAGTTAGACGTACTTGGATTTTAATCCTGGATCTGCCATTTACCAACTCTGTGTTCTTAGGTAAGTCACTTAACCTTGGGTAAGCCTCCTATTCTTCATCTATAAAATCACAGTATCTTCCTCATGGGGTCATTGTAAGGATTAAGTGAGTTAATAGCTGGGTTATATATATATGCTCAGAGCAGTGGCTAGTTCACAGTAAACACTCCATGTTAGCTATTTCGAATATGATTACTCAATATATGTTTATCAATATTTAACTCATGCTCAAGTGAGTTCTGGGATAGATGCTATATGCTGGAATTATGAAAATGAGCATGAAGGGGTTCAACCTTCCAGGAACCTACAGCTATATTCCTACAGGATTATATGTATAAAAATATAAATATAATGTATTCATATTATATATAATAATATATAATATATTATATAAAATAATATATATGTATATATATATTTTTAAGTAATCTCTACACCCAACGTGGAGTTTGAACCCATGACTCCCAGATCAAGAAGCATATACTCCACTGATAGAGCCAGCCAGGCACTCCTGGGATGTGTTTTAAGCATGCAGGCAGAGTCCAGGCTTCAGAGTCAGCCAGAGCTGATTCTCATTCTGGGTTTGTCTATAGTTTCTAGTTGTGGGAACTTGGACCCATCTTTCACTTTCTCAACCATAATTTTCTCAGTTGAAAATGAGAATTATGATAGTACCTACCTCACTGGGTACTGGTGAGGATCAAATGAGATAATCAGGGTAAAAAGCTTAGCACAATTCCTGGAGCATGGTAATTACTTAATACGTGTTAACTATTAATTTCATTTATCAGGAAGTAGGCTAATTAATTGAGACATTGCAGTCCAAGGTAAAGAGTGCTATACTGGATGGGGAAACAAGCTGCTAAAGGAGTCTGGCAGGAGATTAACTTTGCCAGGAAGAATTTCAGAAAGCCCTGAGGAGGTAATGTTGGACTGGGTTTTGAAGAATGAGTAAGAGTTTTCTGGCTGAGAATGAGGAAAGAGAAGGCATTCCAGGCAGAGGGAAGAAGATCTGCAAAGGCATAAAGTAACAAAAGGCGTTGACATGTTTGGAGGAAGGTGATAAATTCAATGTGGGAGTTTAAGGTGTATGGTATGGAGGGAAGGAGGCTGGAAAACAGAGTTCAGGTCAAAGCATTGGCTTATGTGGGAGAAACTGTAAGCCATCTGTCAGCTGGGGGGATTCGGTAGAGTGTGGAGAAAGGCCAGTAGTGAGGCTGGAGAGAGGTTTTATAGGTGGAACAGATAGACTCAGGGGAATATTTTATGTGTGCATTGGGGGAGGACAGTGAGGGAAACAATGGCCATCTGCTGAGGAGTCAAGAGAGGAGGGCAGGGTTTGAGTGGATGGAACAAAGCTATGGGATGGGGAGTCCAAAAACCTGGCTCTAAACCCACCTGGTATACCGCCGAGTATCTCCATGACCTTGAGAGTGTCACACTATTTTTTTTTAAGATTTTATTTATTCATTTAACAGAGAGAGAGAGCACAAGCAGGGGGAGTGGCAGGCAGAGGGAGAGAGAGAAGCAGGCTCCCGGCAGAGCAGGGTGACCCCAATGTGGGACTCAATCCCAGGACCCGGGGATCATGACCTCAGCTGAAGGCAGTCACTTATCCAACAGAGCCACCCATGCGCCCCAGAAAGTGTCACACTATTTTGTCCTTAGTTTTCTATTGGTAAATAATATGGCTTCTATCGGCTACATATAATTATTGTGAAAAAGAAAAGAGGTAATGAGTAAGTGCTTTGTGAGCAGTAAATAACAAAACAAATATCAGACCTTATGTTATTAGGGAGGCGGTCAATTGCATGGAATAGCACAGCTAAAGCAGAGTTTAGGTGAGATGGAAGGTAAGGGTATCTGTTCTGTTCTGGGGTGAAGATAAACACAGGAACACACACACACACACACACACACACCAGATAAGTACAGTAATTTCCACACTAGGACTGGGCTGGATCTACAGGAGGGCAAAGGGAAACTCAGTTCCACCACCAGCGACTTTACCAATTGTGCTATAGATGCTTTCACCTCTCACTTGGGTTTAAGGTGGTCCAAAGATCCAAATCTGGAGTCTTTGGCTGGGCTTCAGGTATCTGGGGAACCATCAGAATTTGTGAGTAAAAGTCATGCTGTAAATTTCTTGGGGCCAGAATCCACAGTCTCCAGCCGACTCTCAGAAGCATCTGTGACAACCCGCCCCCCTGCCCCCCAAAGTTTAAGAGTCATTGATTTTCTCACCAGAAATTGAGAAATTTCTCACCAGAAGGCGACAGATGTTCATTTTTAATTTTTGACTTTTCTAAACTACTTCATTTTTCGAAACAAGGTCATGTTTCATTGAACCATGAAATGAAAATTTCATTGAAAAAAAACTCATCGGGGCACCTGGGTGGCTCAGTTAAGCGACTGCTTTTGGCTTGGGTCATGATCCAAGGGTCCTGGGATCAAGCCCCGCATGGGGCTCCCTGCTCTGCAGGGAGCCTGCTTCTCTTCTCCCTTTCCCTCTGCCTGCCACTCCCCCTGCTTTTGCTCTCTCTCTGTGTCAAATAAAATCTTAAATAGAAAAGAAAAAAAAAAAACTCATCAGGGATTATCTGGATGGTGCCATAGGGCCCTGTTTAGATTTCGTCTTTATATCTCTTTGTATTAAACACAATAAACACAAATATTACTGTTATTTTTAAAAACCCTGATAGTGTCAGCGCGTGCGCAAACACACACACACACACACACACACACACACACACACACACACACCCCATGCCATTATGCAAGGTACATCCCCTATTTTGTAAGGTAAAATGTCTACATTTCCTATAAACTACTGGCTTTACTGCAGTAAAACTTGGAATCGAAGTAGACTAGACGAAGAAGAAAAAGGCAGGCAATTTCAAGCATTTCAGCTCAGACTTATAAAAATAATGTGTATATGTGTCAATCTTCACATGCGCTGTCGTCTGCCTTCTTGTGAACCCGCCAATGTGCGAGCCGTTGGCGTTTGATGCTTGAAGCGACGGAACGGAGGACAGGGTTAAATCCACTACCCTCTCCCCACGCACTCTAGTAATTACTCTATTTCCACGTCATGTTTCCGGGTGTGTGTGTCCCGACTCACGCAGAAACTGAAGTTCAAAGCAGGCGGGAGTCACCCATGTTCTTTTTGCTGTCCCCAGAAACCCAATTCTGGCGTTGGGCCCCCTGAGGATCTGGCGATACCTGGGGACTGTCTAACTGGTTGATTCCCACGTCGTAAGTGGCTTGCAAACTCGCCCCCACGTGGTGCCAAGAGCTGGGAAGAGGGAGAGCAGGCAGGAGAGAGCCGCATCAGGGGCATTTAAAGTGTCCTGACGTCACGCATTGCCAGGAACTCAGCTGAGTTTTCAGCAGGACATTCCGGTCATCTTCCCTCCCTCCCCCCGGGTTTCTGTGCCCAAGGCCGCGGCTCTTCTTCTGCTGTGGTGGAGGGAGGAGCACTAAGTGCTAGGAACAGCCAGAACTGGGGCGTTCCCAGCCTAATGTTGGCCCCGCCCTTTCCCCCAGAGGTCTTCTCATTGGCCAGTGGGTGGGGCTTCGGGTGTACTGTATCTGCACCAGTGCTTCTGGGCGGCCGGGGAAACTGGCCGTTTCATGAATTATGCAGAAGCGGCGTGTCTCTGCCAGGCTAGGGCTGGGTGGGGATTGGCTGGAGGGGCTGTAATTCAGCGGTTTCCGGAGCAGCCGCGGCGTAGACGGGGAGGGGGAGTCTGGGGTTCCGACGTCGCCGCGGAGCGAGCGAGCCCGAACCGGATCCTTGACGAGCTGCCGTGCTCGGCGCTCTCTCTCCGTGTCTGCCAGGAGAGGCCCCGCGGCCTGAGGGAGCCCCGCGGCCCGCACCCCGGCGCAAGCGCAGCCCCGGCCTATCGGGCCTGAGCCCGAGAAACAGGTGAAGGGGGTGAAGGGTGGGGCCACCCCCCCCGACGGCCCCCAGGCCTGGAGATCCGGAGGGGGGGCGCGGGAGGGGTCGGGGGCCTCTGCAGTGTTTGGGGGAGTTGTGGATGGAAACTTAAGTGGGGCGGGGGGGAATACGTGGAGACGCGAGCGTCGATCTGAAGGGACAACTCCCGGGATGACAGGAGCGGGCCTCTGAAGGGACAGGGGGCGCTGGAAGGAAGTTTCGTTCTTTGGAGAAAGGGCAGACGCCGAGGAAGAGAGAAAATGGGCTCAAGGGGGAGGACAGTGGGGCGAGGGCACTACAGGGTGGGGGTGGCAAGAGTGAGGGACAGCCCCCCGACTTCCTGCTCCCAGAGGCTCTGGGGACGTTCCGGCCACAGGAGCAACTGTCAGGCCGGCAGAGATCACGGGCGGGAGGTGGGGGTGTTGGAAAGAGCTTTCTCCCCTCTCCCCGGCGGCGCCCGGCGGCTCCCGGCGGCTCCCGGCCGAGCCAATTCCTCGGCCTTGCCCTGTTCCCTCTCCTTTAGGAGCCAGCTGTGCCCCTTTAGAGGAGGGAATAGGTGTCTTCCCCCTACAGCCCCACAGGCTGGTTGGTTGTGGGTAGGATTATTGCATAAGAATCAAGTTTCCTGTAGGGAAATTGACAGTCTTGTACTCTTTTTAAATTCCCTCCACTTTTTTTTTTCTAGATTAAACCTTGCTTCCCTTCTCCCCTTCTAAAAACAAAACAAAGCAAAATAAAACCCCCATCAAGCCAGTTCTAGAGAGAAATAAACCTCTTTCTTCCTTGACATTGTTCTTTTATAAACACCTGGTAAACTTGCCCAGAAGATAAATAATTGAGCCCTTGCGTTTACTGGATTGTGGTGTTGCTTAATTGCATAGGACAGAATGAACCAGTCGAGAGTGGGAGTTTTCTGTCTTTGAGCCAAGATCTTGGGTAAACGCAGAAGGAAACAAAGACAGGCTGGCCTTGGCAAAGCCTAGCCTGAAAACTTTACCTGTGATTGGGGGGTGTGGTTGGGCTTAAGTTAGCGAAATTCAAACCATCATCCAAGTTGCTTTTTCCATGTTTAGTGCACACCTTTCTGTGTTACATCAAGTGTGTGTGGTATTGACACTTTAAAAAAAATAAAAATGTACATAATGTGTATCTGCTGGTTTTTATCCTGTGTGCATCTACAGGCTATATTCTGTGTATGGGTTGTAACTTTTTGGCTGGCTGTGCTGATAAAGAGCGTTGATTGGAATAAATCAGAACTATAAATCATCTCAATCTTTCATATGTGGATTTAGACTGTTATGACTTGATTCAGCCAAATTTCTGTTATATATTAAATATGTCTGTGTTCCCTGAGTCGACACATTTATTTCCTTGTTACATGTGCCAGACTGGCATACTAGCAGAATTTTTGCTCAGACATTTGCATAGTGGGATGGGGAAAAGAAGTCTGGAATACTGAAAAAAAAATTGTTGTAGATATTGAAGGGTTGATCTTAAAGAGTATATATTTGTTAGCATATCCACCACAGAGAACCACTAGCAAATTCACAGGTCTTTTATTTCTGTATATAGTACTTTTGGGAAGAATAACTGTTTAGAAATATCCACAGCTGTGACTTGCCCTACAAAGGGTAGATAGTTCATATGACATGAACCCCATTTTATAGATAAGGAAACTGAGGCTAAAGGAACAGGGCGCTTGCCCAAGGCAGCAGAGTGTCATAGTGGTAGAACTTGTACCTTTGGCATATTTTGTTATTTTGACCTATGTTAAATATTAGATCTTGATTTACAGTGAGTGTAGACCCTGCTGGGAAAAGTGTCACTGAAATTCTCACATCTATCTGGACAGTGAAATACCACAAATAGGCTGTAAGACTCCAAGGGAGATAGCCAATAAACAGGTGCAAAAAGAAGTAGAACTAGGGTTTGCTTAGGTTATTTTTCCGTCTGCTGTGTATAACTTGGGAAGTCACTAACTTCTTAGTCAATGTAACTTATCATCAGAATTTAGCTATTTGCTAATGGAGAGAGAGAAAAATGCCATTTAAATCCAGAGTGCCTTGTGGCTTGATCAGTGATCATTTGTGTCTCTAGAAAGTTGCTTTCTCCTCCTGCCTCTGCTTGTCTTGACTTTCTGATGTGAGATGGGGCAGAGGTTGTGACCATTCCAGATGCTGAGTCCAGCACCTTTTTACCTTATGGTTTCCCCAGAGGTGGTGTACAGATCAACAAATATTTGCTTTTTGCAACTTTGTGAAAGTTGCCATGAAGAATCAGAGGCTTTGTTCACAGGACTTGCAGTCCACTGAGGGGACTTGATAAATGCTGTATGCCTATAGGGCAACATGTCCTCAAAGAGGTGGTGAGGTGTTAAGCCTGTGCCATCCAACAAGGTAGCTGTTACATATTCCAAGTATATATAAAGCGCATCTATAGAACATTCCCATTGTCCTGGAAAGTTCTGTTGGACAGTGCTGCACTAAGCGCTATGGTCTTCAGAGGAAGGAGAGGTTATGAGGCCTGGAATGGTCTAGGAAGTCTTCTTGCCAAAGGAGAGATTTGATATGGGTCCCAAATAATAGCTGAAATATGATAGGTGTAAAGAATTTGGGGTGAGGAGGTATGGTGGTACAATAGGAACAAAATCCTGGTAGATTAGGAAGGTAAGTAGGGGAGGAGTGTCTACTCATAAGAGGCCTTGAAGGCCAGACCCTGGAATTTCAGGTTTGGTCCTTCCAAAGATTTGTGAGGCCAGGTACTGGTGTTTAATAATGGAGTGCCTACTGTGTGTCGGGCGCGTGCCTGGCATCGGTTAATTTGTACAAAGTAGATCAGTGCACGTGGCCTCTGCCCTAGGGGAGTTGTCCTTGGGCCTGAGCTTATAAGTTGGGCCAGCACCCAGAGAGGTGTTCTGACTTAACAGATTCGTGTGTTTAAGTGCAGAAGTGTCTTTTAGGATTTTTAATTGGCTGTAAATGGCCACTCACATTTTATGTCTTCCATATTTAAACAATTTTACTATAACTTTTGGGTCATTCATAAAAAAACACCAAAAGAGCACTTCAGGGATGTCCCCAAATCTTGAAGAAGTCCTGGTTCCTGGAGCAGCCTTGGTGAGATCCAGCAGGATGACATTGCCAGGCCGTATCAGTCTTTGTCGGTTATGGTGAAAAGAATTAATGTCCCAGTTACACATTTGTCACTCGGAACCTCAGCTTACTATGGTGCACTTTAGTCTGGATGGCCAGATGGTACTTTGGTGGTCAGTTGTTTGAAATGTCTCTAGTTTTTGGGGCGCCTGGGTGGCTCAATAGTTAAGTCCCTGCCTTCGGTTCAGGTCATGGTACCAGGGTCCTGGGATCGAGCCCCACATCGGGCTCCCTGCTCAGCGGGAAGCCTGCTTCTCTCTCTCCCACTCCCCCTGCTTGTGTTCCCTCTCTCACTGTGTGTGTCTCTGTGAAATAAATAAATAAAATCTTTAAAAAAATGTCTCTAGTTTTTAAAAGGAACAGCATGTGGAAGGATGAATTTCTGTTCTGCTCAGTTCTCATTATGTTAGGATTATCACAACTCTTAGGTCAGGCAGGCAAACGTTTTATTTCAATTTTGTTTTGTCTTAATTAATTTATTTATTATCAGCAAACATTTTATACTGAGAGCCAATTACTATGCTAGGCCGTATCCAAGGGTAATGAAATATTGTTACTATTTTCACGGAACTAGAGGCATTGTGCGGACCAGGGTGTGTGTTTCTTCAGTATGGACACAGGGCAGGGGAGGTGACAGGATGAGAGGTTCACATCTGGGCGCCTGGGTGGCTCAGTCGGTTAGGCGACTGCCTTTGGCTCAGGTCATGATCCTGGAGTCCCGAGATCGAGTCCCGCATCGGGCTTTCTGCTCGGCAGGGAGTCTGCTTCTCCCTCTGACCCTCTTCCCTCTTGTGCTTTCTATCTCTCATTCTCTCTCTCTGAAATAAATAAATAAAATCTTAAAAAAAAAAAAAAGAGGTTCACATCTGATGCTCTGGAGTCAGATTGGTCTGGGATCAGATCCTGGATCTGCTACTTCCTCCTCAGAACTTGAGTCTGTTTCTTATCTGTGAAAGTGGAGGATAACAGGGCCTATCTCCTAGGTCTGTTGAAGATTCAATGAGATAATATAGGTAGAATGCTTAGCATAATGCCTGCCCCACAGTGAGAACTCCATAAATCTAAGTTCCTATAAAATATCCCAGAAAAGAGATTCATTCTCTTCAGGGGTGGGAAAAGGCTTTATCATAGAGGGGCTTTATCAGGTTGGAATGCCTATGAACGGGGTTTTGTAGGGTGAATAGGAATTCTCCCGACAAAGTTGAGTGGTAAACAGTTGCGTTCAAGGCCAGGGAACATGAATGTGCAGAGGCTTAACACAGCAGAGAGTGTCCAGGGAGCTAGTACAAGTGCAGGTTCTTAATTTAGGAGGGCTGAACTGAGGGGAGAGGAAGCCGCTGAGCTACGGCTCTTCCCCCTACTCTTCTGTTCCTTATTGGGTTCACATGTCATCAAAACTAAGTTGTGTGGTCCTGCTTACAAAAGAAATATATGCTATTACAAAACATTCACATTTGTAGAACTATAAGCTATGTGTATTTTATATATATCCTGTTAATAGTTGTATTAATGTTTAATGGTGTGTATATCTCCAGATTTTTTGCGCCTTTTTCTACTTAACCAATTTATATTGGACACATTTTTTGCAAACTTCTTTTTAATAGCATAATAAAAGAAGGCAAATCTACCCCCCAAAATACAATAAGGTTTGGATTATCTGGCTTTTCTTTCTACTACCCCCACCCAGAAGAATAAATGACTCTTCTAGTCACTGAACTTTTGCCTGACCTTTGGCTTTATAACTACATTGGACAAGGAACTTATTTTGAACTTTCCTAAGGTAACACTGTAGTGTCAAAATGCTTGGGCCATGTGTTTGAGGGTCTCATGATCCAA